TGTAAAATTCTGTTCGATGATATCATTAACGTAGTGAAAACTGATTAACAGAAACCATTCTAAGTGTCTGTGATAGATAAAAGCCATCAAGTCGACCGAAGGCCTTTAAAATTGTTTAGTCATAATAATATCATTAATCTGACATAATTATAGATTGTCGATTTAAATCCAATAATGTATGGAGTTTTCTTGCAGTTGACAAACAAGAAAAATAGCATTCCGATTTAGACCAGAAAACGAAGGTTATGATGGATTTATCATCATATTATTCCAAGTCGACATGTTTATTTTAAATCATTTTCTGTAAGGGTTAATACTAGCTCAGAAAAAATCATTTACGTAATTGATGTAGAGGGGGAAGAGAAAAAGTTGATACTGAACCGATTTAGGACACGAATGTTACGCACGCTGTAGTTTCAGCATGAATTTCTTCCGGCTGTCTGAAGTTTACCCTAAACTGGCCTTGCGAAGTTTGTTCTCTAAATATGTAAAGTTATTCAATTTATACAAGTATATGTTTAATAAATTGTCTAACCAATGTGTGTGATGGTTCGCAATATATCTGATTATTTCAATAATATATTTGCTCACCTCGGGCAAGATTTTTATTTCTCAGTTTTACAAAAGTATTTTTGGTACGGATGGCCGAGATCGCTAAGGTAGTAGCGATCTCGGACCGAAGGATCTCGGGTTTGAGTCCCGCCTCGAGCATGTTTGTATTGTGTTCGTCCTTTCACACCCCTATCAGCATCCCCCTATATTATCATTTCATACCCTTACACGCAATAGTGGTCGCTAATGATCTAGTAATTGATGAGACCTTAAATAAAAAAGTGCATATTTGTCAATAACATGTTTTTGGACTTACACCAATTTTTTTTCTACTCCTCAATTGAACTAAACAATCGAGATTAAAATTAAACATTTTGAATCGAAAGCATTTCAATTCCGTAATCGCGTATATTTAATAGCAAAAAATTGCATTAACTTCATACATTCAGTTTAGGAACAAAAAGAGAGGACCGCTTGCTTAGGAACAAAAAGAGATAATGTACAAGTACTAAATCTAAGACGATATTTTTCTTCAAGAGATGGACTAGATATTTGTTATAATTATTAGATCACATTACTGGTATAATAATTAACGACAAAGTAAATAACAATCATACAGTAAAATACATAAAAAATGGGGGGAAATTTGCCATCCGAACATTCCTGCCATTGGCAAAAATGATAATAAAAGCAGTAATTAAAAAGAAAATAAACATGAAAAAAGTACTAAGTAATAGAGAAAGAATTCAACAATTTTTTTCTAAAAAGCAACCAGACTTTGATATTTCGAGCAAGCCTTGTGCTTACTTTCTCCGCCACGGCTTGGACGTGAATACACCTTTCTGCTGCTGATATTGTTTTATGGGGGGAGGGGGGATGAGAGCGGAGTTGGGAGGAGTTGGCCTTTCCCAACAGGAGCGCTGGGTTTCTCAGGCAAGTATATGGCTCTAGTGGGCACATTTTATATGCCTATGCCACATAATCAGCTGTGCAAGGACTTTGTATTTCCATGTCAAAAGATATCTAACTTACGTTTATGGGCATTGAACATTTTTTTAACTGACGCATATACATCGCACCAGTTAAAATGTACATGACACCAAGTCAACTAGCAATATTCAAGAACGAAATGTTCACGTTGTGTGTTAAAGGAGACTACTACATTGTTGGAACAATGGTATATAAGACAGACATTCATTGCTGCAGATATAATTAATATTTCGCTCAAATATTAAATTAATAACTTCTTTACAATGACGTACTTAAGGTTGTAAAACAAAAATTCAATCGTTTTATATTTGCTTGCTATTGCCCGTACTTATTAACATTGCTCCCTTTAGATTGGCTTCTACTCAAATTACATATAACTGAACAACTCTCCAAAAGAAGGTAACATTTTGCGCGAGTACCTGCATATATATGTACTCGGGATAACTCGACGTTAACATTTTTCATTGGGTTAATACTAGCAGTTTTGGGGCAGATATTACGCGCGCAACTTTTCTTGAACGATGGATTGAAGAAATATGGGTAAAAAGGGGGTGTTAGTTTCGAAATCGGCCACTTCATTTTATGATGAAATGCCAATTTCTGGAGAATCAGTCATGCCTTTTCAACTTTCAAAATCATTTACGTTCTAACTTTCTTAGGAGTTTGATGTACCTCCTGTGATGTATCTTCACGTGCTTCGGTCCTTTCTATAGATTTTTTGGAGAAGTTCACGGACAGAAGTTCTCTTCAACAGCAAATAGTTTTTCTATTAGCGCCAGTAAAGATGTTTGGAAAGTTGACATCAGTGTTCGCTGTGAGATTCCGCCTTCAACTGTTTCCGCCGTTCCAACTTCGATGATCGGTTGAAGACTAGGCATTAATTGATTACTTTTCTGCTCTGAACAAAATTAAATCTTCTCTCTAAATTTCAATAATGTTTGTGTACATTTCTTCTAAAAGTATTGAAATTATGCGAATAAATCTCCTAGTGTTTGCTTGACAACATCACCTATAAAACAGACACTAAATCTCTAAATAATAGTAAAAAATTAAGACTACAATGTTTCCCACGAACATAAATATGTATTCAAAAATAGAAAAGGGAAATCACCGTCAAAATGGAAAGTAAAACACTTCAGCTGGCATGGTTTTCACCTGAACGATTCCGGAAAACCTATTCTCGGTAGCGAGCTCGCAAAACACATCATCGGCGGTGTTCTGCCTAAGACTAGTCCTCATCTCCATCTCCTAGTTCTCTTTCATCCTCCCACCTCTTTCGGACCTACATACTGTACCTATTTCTTTTTTTACCCGAGTTGAACCTATTCCTTGTTATTCCTCTACTCCTATTCCACTTGTCTCACCGTCACTACTGGAACAGGCTAATTTCTTCGACCACGCACTCACGGGTAAACATTTATTAAATGTTTAGTCACTACAGTCAGAGACAAATATATTTGTAAAGGTACGTGTAAAATTCACATACTGCATCATAATGTTCAATCTCTTGCAAATAAAATTTTGTTAATCGAGGAAGCATTAGAATGATCTAAATTGATGATATGGTTTTTGTTTTTTAGAGAACAATGCCTATGTGATAAACTAAGCACACTTTACAAATATTTAGCTTTGATATCTGCAGTTCCTTTTGCGAAGAGTGAATCAAATAAGAGCCCCGCAAGTGGAAGTTCGTGCATTTACTATGCAAATTATACTGCTGCTTTCTATTTGGCATAATTTATTGAATATTCAGTTGAAAGGGGTTTTTGAGATAAGTCTTATGTGATACAAAGATCACAATGATCTTTACTCGAGTCTGTAGGCCTCCAACAAAGAAGTATTGATTACTGCACGTGTTAAGAAAAAAACTAGAGTAACTGACAAAATTAATAATCGCTCTTTTGAATCCATTGTTCTATGTGAAGTTTTAGAAGCTATTTTTCGGAGCGAATCTTGCGAAAAAAAACAGTTTTCATTTTATGCCACTATTTCAATTTAAATGTTACAGCAAAAATATCTACACGCACGCACTTAAATCAGAGAAGGCAAGAGATCAAATAACTAATTGAAAATCAAATCACCACTAATTAATTTATTTGTTATTTTGTTGTTGGAGACAGTAACCATACAAAATTGTTAAAAATTTGCTGTTATGTTGATTGCTTTTAATCGTCTTTCCTTGTGTGAATTACATTTAATTATATTTTGAATGACCATATTAAAAGAATAAGTAGCATTCCAGTAGGTGGTGTGGGTTTACCATACTTTTCGTAAGCAAGTACATTTTAAAATTAAAATTACAATATGTTTTATAAAACTCATCGCATTTAAAATATATAAATAGCAATTCAATTAACATTATATCTTAGGGAAGATCTGATGAAGGCTAAATACACAGGTAAAACGAAAGCATTTAGATATTTAAAAAAGTTGCGTATGTATAGGCGTAACGCGTCTGATCCCTTAATGAGCACACTATGAAGTAATCCTCCATTAACATTTACAATTATTGGAGTTTGCACCCTCTAGGGACCACAGCGCAATCGTAGTCACGTCAGTTGCTGTCAAGTCGGGGAGTCGCCGACAGGTAGCGTCTCCGCGCTCGCGTCATATACCCATCGATCGAATTGGAAAGAAATAGGGATAGGGGAAAGGTTTAGGACGCTTCACAGGGGTTGAACTATCCCCTGTGAAGCAGGCGAAATTATTTTGTCGAAACAAATTTCACATGAGGTTCTACAGGGATTCTACGGGAATCGAACCCGGAACCGAAGTGGTGACAAGCGACTTTCGTACTGAGCCACGAGAGCAACGTTTATATTAACATTTGTATTGACCTAAATTCAAGACCCTTCCAACCAAAACAAACTTTCGGATCAAGACACATTCACAGGGCAAGCGTGCATATTTTGCAGTTTTAAAAATATTAATCTGTTGCAGATTCCATATACATTGGTATCGAACGTTTGAAAAAGTGTTCCCTCCAAATTCAGTCTCCGGTAATTTAGTTCGCGGTTCTTTTTCAGAAAACCTTTCAAAACTGTCAATATTAATTACTCTCATTTTAAAACTACGTCTAATCTCAACTTTTAGAGTTCATCGTTTTCAGTGACGTCGTGAACCAGGCTCCCCAAAGAGCTAGGTTCCAATTTAACCCTGTAAAATACCTGCGGCATAGCCGAGGCCACATCCTCCCCTTACCCCTCTTTACTTTTCAGTGTTCCCTTCCCCCTCTGTGGGCTTCCAGCCACATTCCCCCCTACGAACCTCCTCTTCTCATAACTGGGCTCTATAAGTATTTCGCGAGGCCCAGTCTTCCTCCCGAAAAAAGACGGTTTTGGCATTATGTAGAAAAGTATATCCCGTATGCTGGAGAAGATGGTATAAACGGAGTTAATCATGCGAGGCTCTATGAATTGGCGAGATACAAGATCATTTCGGTCACAACCGCACTTTACCTCTGAAATAATTCGGTTCCGCAAGCGTGTACTCGCGGTCAACAGCTTCCCAAGCACTGGGACCATCAGTCCCCGCACCGAAGAATTTGCTCTCGAAAACTTCGGCGTTAGGGTTAAGCCCTCTTGGGCTGGAAGTCACCTGCAACAAACATCACAAACGTCATTTTTCTCGTATTCATTCAAACGACGCACAACGAAGTTGCAGACTGCCCTCCAGTTCGTAATAGCCCTGATAGACTGAATTCTAAAACACGTGACATTTAAGTATGTATTTTAGAACAACGTAATTCATTTAATACACATGGCATCAAAGGTAGAATGATACGTCAAGAGATTTATAACCACCATCACTATAAATACAGCTAATGATTTTTTTTATTTAAGCTTTACGAATACTCGAATATGCATTAGAGGTAACGTAGATTAAAAGTGTACCAAGTGAGCTGGAAATATAAAATAGTTCGCAAAGTAATTTGATGTAAACAAATGCAATGCATGGTAGTATAGAAACGAAATATAATGTAATATTTTTCGGACTTTTTGGGTTTATTTTTCTGAAACTTCATGAAATCTTTAAGACATAATAGTCTAAAGAATGCGAAATATCCGGGTAAACCATTTGTTTTCTCTGTTGAGCCCTGGTGACAACATGCATCATCTATTAATATATTTTTTAAACTCCAAAATACCATTTAAGAGATTGTTGCACGAGTACTGGCAATAGGATAATGGACATATAATTCCGTCCTCCTTCCTATCTTAGTATATTAAGTACGGTACTTTCTATAGGCTTGTACAAACAAATACTGCGAAAAAACGTTGCTACCTTCAGGGACAATCCAAATAAATCTTGCAAAAAGAGAGAATGGGATTCTGGTGCTCAAGAAAACATGCCCTGATTGTTCATCTCTCCAGGACGCCATACAATTTAAATGTTTTTTGGCGTTAGGAAATAACAGTATCTACCAGACCGTATTTCCAGATATTCAAAATTTTTATTAAAAAGCAATGTTTTCCAATTACGATACTTTAATACATTTTTTGTAAATATTAACAATTTTACCCCCAAATATTTAATAAAGATTGCGTTCATGTTTACAAATTTTGTAATATTTTTTTCATAAATAAAATGTTTATACGAAAATGAGCTAAAATATCGTATTTATGAAAAATGTTTTTCAACCAAATAGCGCACGGTAGACGGAAAGCGATCTGTAAAATGAGAGATGTTAGTAAGAATCCGGTGCTTTATGTTACTAAGATTCTGGTCGAATCTTGCGAGAAAGAACAGTTTCTCAATTTAATTCCTTCAGTTTAGATATTACAATTACATAACCTACAACGATCACACTGATTTCAAGTAAGGCAATCAATCAAATAATAACACTCGTCAACAGCAACAAAGAATATGAATGGTTTTCTTAGCCAAGAGTTTGATGCTGAATTCGAATATGAAAAAAAGGTTCACTTATCGCGCTGAGGTTTCCTGTTACAATCTTGCTCTATTTACGGAAATGCTTGAAAACACTACATATTGTTTAATTTGGTGTAGCTTCATTGAATAATTCTGCAGATGTAATTGTTCAAGAGCAACTTAAATGTGTACAAGAAATTCCTATACACGACATTGAATTCAGAAAATTTACCTTTAGAATTTGAAAAAGGGTTCGCAACATTGCTGATTAGTCGTGCTCGAACAGAGAGAATCGCTGAGTGTTTCTTGCCTGTTGCGCCTCAGTATTGAGAGAGCTGACAGCGTGGAATGCGGCTTGAATGTGACTGTAGTTATAGGTTCGTAAAGGCTTGTGGTTTGTAGTAACTCAAAAGAATAAATGTCTCGTAACTGTGTAAAAAGCTCAAATACGCGATGTTACATCTGCGGAGAATTAGCTCTGAAATCGCGAAACCTGAACCTTAATCCTCTGGTAAGGAAGTGTTATGAACTTCACGTCAAGTGTAAGGCAGGCGACCAGATCAAGAAATGGTCCTCCCATGTGTACTGTGTGCTGTGTGTTGTGTGTTAGACTCCTGACATGCTGGATAAAACGTTCATGACACACGCCCTTTGCTGTTTCCATGATTTGGAGGGAACCAACAGATCACACAACAGTCATTTCTGCTTGTCGCAAATAGTTGAAATCACCGCAAAAACCAATAAGACTTTGTAGTATCCTAATTTACCATCTGCTCTAAGGCCTGTGTGTCACAGTGAAGAATTGTCTGTACCGCTACCCACTACCTCTTGAGAACGTGACAGTGAATGATGAATGCTATAATGACGAACATTCAGAAGCCAGGGGAAGAGATATCGAAGCTCAGGGCCGTCGCGCACCGGTTTGCCGCTTTCAAAAGAAATACTTTAATGACATTTAATAGTAGAAACCTTTAATTGTTTATAACAGTATTTATTAAAGAGTTATTATAGATTTATTAAATAATAAATATCTATGTATGTAGGTACTTATGTACTTTGGTACAACAGCTCTTTACAAACTAAGGCCTACCAGCAGAGTCGCAGCCTTGCGAAATAATATCTAGGTACAATGTAAAATAAGGCACTTTTCGAACTTTCAAACTAGAAAATTTGCAATTTTTTCATGACACTAAATAAATATTGTTGCATATTTCACTTTCAATTGCCATCATTGCCCGATTAGTTAATATTTCTTGTAACATGGTTGATCAAGGGATGTTTTTAGACTAATAATTTTTAATTGTGTCTACTTTGAATCAGATGGAGTAAGCCGGGTGAAAGGAATATGTATGTGTTAAAGTACAGGCCAGGAAGCTCGAATGCATAACCGCTATTTTGACTGTTTCGGAAGCCACGCACATGAAAGAACATAAAAATAAAATTCCTCGTTAAATGCTTCACCAGTTCCGCCCTGACCAAGTAAAGTTTCACCGATACCCCGAATTAAGCTATATCTACATTTGTGAATTTTCATTAACCCAAACCAATTCTCGAGATGAGTTATGTTACCAAAAGTGAGCCTTGCGAAAAAATAAACGCGAAACGTGTTATTACGACATTAAATTGTCAAAAAGTGATGAAGGTACACGTTTCTTTCTAAACATGATATGGGAATCAGAGAAAGAACTACCTTCGAGTTGGAACTTCCATAATTTTGAGAGATTTGATGAGAAATATTTTTTGGCAAACTTTACTAATAACTCACAATGAAAGGAATTACAAATGGTTTTCCTAAGAAAAAAAATACAGTAATTACGTATAATTAATATAATTTAGTGTTTAGATAAATTTATGTGATATGTTGCTTTGAGTTGTCATGTGTAACATCCGTAAAAAATTATGGTGTAACGTCCGTAACAATATAAACATTTAAAAAAATTAATTTCATTATCTGCTAAATAATATGTGAACACCAACTTCTCAAAACATACTGAAAAATCTCAAAATACTTGTATTTAATTTGATGGAGTAGGATACCTGAATTTGGCTTAAATAACTCAACAGGCTTTTTAATATTTTCCAAATTTTGTAATGTCCGTAACAATACTATTATTTTAATATCTTTGAAATTAATGAAAGAAAATTATAGAAAATATGCTAAATGAAGTCATTTCTTTATTATACCAATACATTTTGTTAAATAAATATACTAAATTTTCCTTGAAAAGTATATGAATACAAAGATGTCAAAGTGTAACGTCCGTAACAAATGGAATGACAAATGCAAATATCACATAGGGAGACATACGCAATTATAAAAACCATCATCACATGAAAACTGAGCTCGATACCGAAATTCTGATATTAGATCTGAATTGAGAGGCAAAATAGAAATAGAAATGGAAACTGTTTTGTCCTTGTTAATTCGAAGTTTCTGTGTTCTGGGACTAAGGTAACCACTTTAGAATTGCAAAAATTTGGAATTTGTTTATCAATTTGAAAATTTTTCAATTCTTTTTTATTTTGTCATCTTAATTGTCTTTAAACAAGGTTCCGAAATTCAACAATCAAATCCGGCGCTATTGCATCTCGTTTTCGAGATATGGAATTGTTTATAAGAAATTAGCCCATCATGACAACTCCCATTTTTTTGGCACTGAATCTTTTCGCAGTTACAACACAAGTAATTTGTACTCCAAGTCATTTTCCAATGTATCGCTTAGTTCTCCGCTACATACGCTAGAAGTTCGTAACAGAGGTGGGAGCGGACGTGCGACCTCAACGCTCGCATTGCAGTGGATTGGTGGTGGATAGAGATAGTTTTTCAATTTTTCAGTTTTCCATTTTATTCTAAATACAGCTGTGAAACACTTGTTTCTAGATTTGGATTGGTTTACGTATTATTTCATAAACAAATTCTCTTCCACATTTAACGTCGAAATCACCTATTGCATGAACAAACACCAACAGAATATTTATTGCGTATTTTTATATTTTCTGGGAAGTCGTGCAAACGGTATTCCGAAATTTCTATCGGCTACCGGAAAAAAATATTACAAACACCTTATCGTGCAAAGCATATATCGCAGAAACATTAAAATCAGTTATCCCAAATTCATAAACTTTTCAGCATTCAGTAGTATTTTTTTACATTAAATCCTGGAACAGTCCTTCAGCTTCTGTAAATGGGGCTCTACATTTTCTCTGTGGCGTACTACTTATTTCTATTCTTATTTCCGTATTTCCTTTCCGTATTTAGAGGTATGTAATGCTGCGATACATCGATTTCAAGAGAAATGTTTCAGATGCTTCTGTTTTTTCAAAACGTCCGTGCGTCAACAATAGTGTCTAAACCAGGGCTGTCCAGGGCCGCATGAGGCCTCCGGTTCTATTTATTGTGGCCCGGTGAACACCAAGGTTGGCGAGAATATTGCGCCTAGCGAACGCGTCCAGCCAGGGCCAACGACCCCCTAATGTAAAAATAGGTTGGGTTTAGATTGAAGGAATTTTTTAGTAAATTCAGAAATTCAAAATCGTTCCAAAGTGTTTCCCTGCGTTATGCCTGGTAGAGCCTGATATCACATATGGTTCCTTACCCCCCACCGTTTCGAGAAGTAGAGCAAACTGCCGATATGAACAATACGGGGTCACGCCTCCCTAGAAATAAAAATATGGCCCGCAATATTAAAAGTTTTAGCTGTGGCGCTTAAGACATTACAAGTTGG